AAAGGTTCGTCCCTGTTTCGATTGGAAGAGACAAGAAGGATCTGGGTTAGGGGTTCTTAGTCGTTTCAAGCTCTCACAAAACCACCGCAGCGGCTGATGACTCGATATTTGCACATGTTTTCCCCCTTTGTTTCTTGATCGTTTAAGCTTGCATTATCGCTTCTTTGGCCTATTTTACGCTAGGTTGTGTTCCTTTTTTACGTTTCAGGCCCTAGCACATAAAGTGAAGCATAGGCGCAAGTTTCAAGTCAATCAGAGATCAATTGGCGATTCGGGAGAAGAAACTCTGGCATGACCTGAAGAAGAATGGATTTCTACCTCACTTTATGGAAAAATAATCGTGCAAGTTTGTCATGAAAAGAAAGAGGACGAGATTACGAGCGTCTGGGATCAAACGGCGACTGATTCGGAGTCCGGACGAGGGAGAAACGAAGCATTGAATATAGGGGAACTCCCCATATATATATATATATATATATATATATATATATATATATATATATATATATATATATATATATATATATATATATATGGCAAAGGCTAGCGTACACCCGGGTGTACCTTAGCCTACCGTACGCCCGTTGAGTTTTGCTATTTAAACAATGAATTAACCAAAGTTTGGGACATGATACTATATCCTAATCCCTTATGGGCGAACCCCAGTCCCCAATTCACTAACCCAAAGCATAATATTCATTTAATCTTGAAATGAAAATCAATGGTTCTGATTTGTCGAAATTATTGTTGATTTTCATTTTAAGATTAAACGAATCTCATGATTTAGGTTAGAAAACTAGGGACTGGGGTTTATCCATTAGTGGTTAGGGTATAGTATCATGCCCAAAACTCCGATTAATTCATGATCTAAATAACTAAACTCAAACGAGCGTACGGTAGTCTAACGTACGCCCGGGCGTACGCTAGCCTGAACCCTAACCCCTAATGGGTGAATCCCAGTCCCCAATTCGCTAACCCAAAGCACGAGATTCGTTTAATCTTAAAAATGAAAATCAACGATTCTGATTCGTCGAAATTTTCATTGGTTTTCATTTTAAGATTAAACGAACCTCATGGTTTGGGTTAGAAAATTAGAGACTGGGGTTCACCCATTAGAGGTTAGGGTATAGTATATGTCGCAACCGCCCCTCGAGATCGGGGGAATCCTTCGCGAATTGGTCGGAGTCGCCATCGACCTTAGATGTGGTGGGTCGAACACCATTTTGGTCCGATCTCGACCTCAGGGTCGAAACCGGGATTTGGTCTGCGAAATTTATAGATTTGGGTTCGGGAGTACGGTTACATGTGGGGGGTGTATTCACACCCCACAACGCCCAAAATTGGTACTACTTAAATCGATAAGTTTTTAAATGTTGGGTGTATTATTATTTGCGGCTTATTTCGTATTAAATTAAGATTCAAATAATTAGGTATTTATTTTTACGATCCGATTATACGTCTATTGACGCAAAATCTCATAAGTAAAAAAGTATTTTTGATTAGTTGGAGTTATAACTTTTACCACAATCCACTAAAAGTAATCCTCGTATTATATTATTATAATTTTGTTAATAAAATTTCATTTAGATTATTATGATGTTATGAAAAAGAATATAAGAATTTAAGTTATTAGGAAGTGTTATGACGTATTCGAACAGAAACGAGATAAACTTAATCCGCATTCAACATTTCATGTCGAATAAATATGAATGAGATGATTTTATTTACGCAGGAGGAGCCAGCAGCCCTACCGGTTGAAGCGTCAGACACATTTGCCCAAAGACCCGAGTTCGAATCTCAGTGGACACAGTTTGGTATTTTCGTTTTTTATGCAGATATGGGGGGAGGGCATTTTGGTAAATGGCCAAAAACGCGGTGGCAAGAGTGGTAAATCTACGAAACCCTAGGGGTAAAATCGACATTTACTGATGAGTATAAAATCATCTCCTGAGACAAAAAAAAACCCTAATCGTATTCTAAGGCCAGCGGCGGCCGCCCTCTTCCTCTCTCTCATGTTCTCTCGATTCTTCCACTTCTCTCTTCCTCCTCCAGAAACAAATCAAACCTAGCGCCACCCTCATCTTCTTCTCTCTCGTCTCTCGCCTCTCTCCCTCTCCATCTCTCGTCTCTCTTACAGAAGCAAACCAAAACCCCCAGCAGATCTAGAGGCGGCCGCTTCTCACTCCCTCTCTCTCTCTCTCTCTCTCGGTTTCTTTCTAGAAAACGACCTCCAGAGAAGAGAGGCGTCGCCCTCTCCTCTTTTCGATCTCTCTGTTTCTCGCCCCTGCCTCAAGGAAACGAGAACAAAAAGCTCACGACAAGCCGCGTACGACCGCGGCAAGACGACAGCGAGAAAGGCGACCAGAATCGACCTCAATCGGCTGGATGCATGTCGATCCAGGTAGGGATTTTGCTTGCATGTTATTTCATGGCTTTCTGTTTGTATTACTTGAGATTCTATTCTGAATTTTGTGTTGGTTTTGGATTTCTGGGGTTTTTCGGGTCTCTGGATTCGATGGGGAGGAGAAACAGAGGATGGCGCCGGCCCCAGAATCCGCCGGCAACTAACGCGGCGGTGGTTTGACGACGGCTAAGGCGAGTGAGATCTTTTTTTTGTTTCGGTTTATTACCTCTTTAATCTATTCTGACCTCTACTTTGGTTTTGATGCAGTTATTGGAAATGGACCGATCTGGGTAAGGTTGTCCTAAACTCGGGTTAATATGATTGGGGTGGTTGAACTAAAAAAAAGGAAGGATTGTGTTTCGGTTTAGATTTGGTTTACAAATCTGTGGTTTGGAAATATGTTGTATGTGTGTTTGATGATCTCGAATATTTTCATGCTTGGTGGTGTGGTGGATGGTTTTAGAAGTAACTCCTAATATGCTAGAATTTGCTAAAAAAAATAATTTCTGGGAAAGTAATTAAGAAGTTCTAGAATCCCTATTTTCGGTAATTGTAAATCACTGCCTCTGCTTGTGATTTTGCAAGGGTTTGAAATCTGAAATTTTAGTGTGTTTATGGTGTTTTTCCTATATTCTAGAAAATAAACGAGTTGAAATATATGACGTAAATAAAGGAATAGCAATCAACAGCTAGTAAATAGCGTAGTAGAAATGGAATGTAAAGATCAATGAATAGATTTTGCAAAATAGTATGTATATCAGAGACTTTACTCAATTAGTTAGCAGTTGTTGTTGTATATTGATGGTGCTAAAAATAAATAAATAAATAATGAACCGAAAATAAAACTGAAACTGAAGAGCTGATAAAATAAAATAAGTGAGATTTCTCTTTTAAATCAGTTTGGTCAATGTACAGTTATAAAGTTGATTAATTTTTTTTAAAAGCATTGTGAAGAAATATAAAAGAAAGAGATGCTGATAATGACGATAGTAGAATGATATTGACAAAAAGAGAAAAGTAGTAGAGAAGAAAAGAGAATAAATCAATAGTATATAGTATTATAACTGGAATATGATTCTGGTTTTGCTCAATACAAACCTTTTGGGCTTCTGTTTGGCTAGAGGCTTTCTATTTGACAGAATGAAGAAAGAAAAAAAAGTGTTTGTGTTTCTCTTTTATTTTCCCAGCACTTCCCCTTTCTCCCAAAGCTGTCTAAGAAGAACAAAATCTCTGAAATGACTGAAAGAAAGAATTGACAGTGTTTCCCCAAGTGTTTTTTTTCTCTCCTGAAAAACTGTCCCTTCTCCTTGGGAATTGGGCCTCCTTTTATAGCAAGTTGAGACGGTGGTGTCTGAGCTCGGCCTAACCATTTTTGGTTCGACCGGTTCGTCGGTCGGGTCTTTGGGATGGCTTGCATCTGGCCCATGATGTCTGATCTGGTCCAAATTCGTTTGAGCTTGGGCTTGGTTGGGCCTGACTGGGTTTCCTTCGGGCCTGGGCCGAGTTGGGCTTCTTCATACTGCACCTTGAGTTTGGACGAACTGGTCTTTCTTCTTTGCATTGCAGGTCCAAGGTTGATTTGCTTCAAAGGAGATGGTGGGTCAAGCCTGAAACTTGTTGAACACTTGTAACTCTCATTAGTTATTTGTGATTTGTAATTATAATTGTAATTTAGTAAAAATTTTAATAATACATTTTTCTTCTTATTTTATTTTTTGTGTTGTGCAGAAAGTTGAGATTAGAAGCCAATAGATCCTATTAGATCCACCGGAATCGAATTCGAATAAACTGTACAATCGTTGATATTTTAGATTCGCAATGGCTGATCTATCTTACGATATTTCACGGTTTAAGTTGGAATTTTTAGTTGGATAATTTACCCGGACAAAATGAGGTGTCTACAGTATCATGCCCAAACTCTGATTAATTCGTGATCTATATAGTAAAACTCAATGGGGCGTACGCTAGCCTGAATATATATATATATATATGGTGCCTTCTACGGTACCCCGAGTGAAATCCGGGGTACCGCATACCTTCAGTATGAAAATGCTATCTAGACCTCAAATTAGCAGGATTTTTGGTCATGATACTATACCCTAACCCTTAATGAGTGAACCCTAGGTCTTAACTATCTAAATCATAAACTATAAACCCTAAGATGGTGCATTGATTTTTTTTGCCTATATTTGGACGAATCATAACCGTCGATTATTGTTTCTAATTAAATTGATCTTGGGGTATCAGATTTAGATAATTAAGACCTAGATTTTGATCTTTAGGGTTAGATTATAGTATCATGTCCGAATGATCAGTCAATTCAAGTTCTGGATAGCGTTTTCTTACTCAAGGTATGCGGTACCCTGGATTTTACCCAGGGTACCGTAGAACTCGCCGTACCGCCGATTTGGGAACTCAGCTGGCGTTGATTTTGGCAAAATAGTAGCGACTAGCGACTCCCTTCTTCCATAGCAGCGGCGGCGCGAAACTCCGATTGGAGGCAGCTTCAAGGGATCCACAAAACCCTCATAATTACTCTTTCCGCTTAGAACCTCCGCTGAAATTTAGGGTTTTGGCTTCAGCTAAACCAGTGAGCATGTGGAGGTCCGTAGCCGCCAAATCCACCCGGGTTACTCAAATCCTCGACAAGGTACTACTCCGACCTTCATCTCATTCATCCCCGCATCATCACTTCCGATTTCTGTCCATTTCCTCGTCTGTCAGCCCAACCCTAGAAGAAACGCCGCCGCCGCCTTCGTCGCACCCTGCGGCGGACGCCGGCTTCGACTTCCCCTCTGCTCCCATTCACCATGATTTTGTTGAGAGTGCTGATAGCGAGAGATTAGGGGATGCCATCACGGCCATTGGTATTGAGGAGTTGAACGAAGCTGATAATTTCAGCCCTGAAGCTGCTGTTGATGAATTGCCGGTGGAAGAACGTGTTTACGAGATTGATCTGGAGAAGTTGGAGACCGTGCTTTCTCTGCTGCAGAGCAGTGCTGATGGGTCTCTGGAGTCGACGCTTAACGGATTGGAGTTGGATTTGCACGAAGAGTTGGTACTAAGAGTGCTCGAGACGCCCAACCTTTTGGGCGAAAATCTTATTCGGTTTTTCAACTGGGCTAGAAGCAAGGAGTCTGGTCCAGTTCTGGTGACTTCCCAACTGGTTGAGGCACTTGTTAAGGCGATATGCGGTTGTTGTCACATGAGGAAGAAAGACGCATACGCACTGTGGGATCTGATTGTGGAGGTTGGTGATGATAATGGGGAAGCTGCTACTCTGCTGAATGCACAGATTATTAACCCGTTGATTGCTCTGTTATCCAAGTTGGGTAAAGGCAAGGCCGCTTTTGATGTTTTCAACAAGATGGGGGATTTTGGCTGTGTCCCTGATTGTGATACCTACTATTATACAATTGAAGCACTCTCGAGAAGATCATTCTTTGATTGGGCTTGGGAAGTTTGTGAGAAAATGCTGAATGTCGGACTTCTTCCCGAGGATCCTCAGAAGGTTGGGAAGATCATCTCGTGGTTCTGCAAAGCAAATAGGGCAAGCGATGCACATATGGTTTATATGTCAGCAAAGGAGAAAAACAGGTACCCACCACGGCCATCTACCAATTTCTTGATTGCTTCGCTTGCTCACAAGGATGAGACTGTCAAGTTAGCTCTAGAAATGTTGGATGGCTTTTCTGGGGAATCTAGGAAATACGCCATCAAACCTTTTGCAGCCGTTATGCATGGTTTGTGTAGATCTAAGGATGTTGCTGAGGCAAAATCATTGCTTTCTAAGATGATTGCTGATGGTCCGCCACCTGGAAATGCTATTTTCAATCTGGTGATCAACGCTTATTCTAAAGCTGGGGATATGGATGGAGCAATGAAGACGATGAAGCTGATGAAGAGCAGGGGACTAAAACCCGATGTCTACACTTACACTGTGGCTATGAGTGGTTATGTGAGTGGTGGCTGCATGGAAGAGGCTCGCAAACTACTTTCGGAGGCAAAAAAGAAGCATACTAAGCTAAGTCCCGTGTCGTACCATACACTTATTCGTGGGTACTGCAAGTTGGAACAATATGACAAGGCTTTAGGGTTGTTGGCAGAGATGAAGGAGTTTGGTGTTCAGGCTAGTGTAGATGAGTACACTAAGTTGATTCAGTCCCTTTGTTTGAAGGCCTTGGATTGGAGAAGAGCAGAAGAGCTGTTGGAGCAAATGAAAGATAGTGGCTTGCATCTGAATGGCATTACCAAGGGACTTATACGCGCGGTGAAAGAGCTAGATGAGGAAATAGGGTCTGACGAAAAACTCAGCATTGCGGCATGAAAATTTCCCTTTGATTTGTTTGTCAGCAGCAGCATTTTGATCTTTGCGTGTTTTAGGCTTTAGTTTTTCTTGGCATATCACTTCACAATAATTAGATTGGAGAAAGCTTCAAACAATTTTGTTTCTGCAGCGATTCATTTCTGAATGCTTCCAATTAGTGCACTGCTGTCTTTACTCTATTTCTCTTTTGATCGGTTCCCTTATTGCCATTTATTGAGTTCTACATATTCCTATACACATTCCTGACAAGCTTCATTACTTGGTAGTTGGTATTCCATGTTTGATAATTAACTTGGAAGCCTTCCCCTGTTTTTTCTGTTCATAATTGCAATCGTTGGTTGGTTTGCTGATGTGCTTGTAGTACGCATTTTAGTTGGGACCGGATAGCGTGACAACCCCTTACCCCCTTCCCCTTCCCCCCTCAGTGTCGTCCATTCTCCTTCTTCATCCGGCGGTCAGGATCACAGGAAGAGCTTTCTAGTAAGTACCTAATTCTAATAATTTTGAATTAGGTACGCATTTTAGTTAGTACGCATTTTAGTTGGGACCGCATTTTAGGGGTTGTCAATCTCGCTTCCCCTTCCCCCCTCAGTGCCGTCCATTCTCCTTCTTCATCCGGCGGTCAGGATCACAGGAAGAGCTTTCTAGTAAGTACCTAATTCTAATAATTTTGAATTAAAACTTAATTCCATGGAGAGAATCTCGCAAAGTAATTAGGGGAGTGGAAGAGGCAGTTTCGGTTGGGACTCTTTCCCTTTCATTTTTGGCTTCTCCCTCGTCAAACCAGACCCCTCATCAAGCTATGGAAAATATAGCGACACGACCGCCACCATACAATGGACGGCTACATCAGCAAAGACGATGGCGGAGAATGGGGTGGAGCAAAACCTATGTGTATATTTGGGTTCGACCTGAACGTCCCATTGACAAGCAGCGACGAGGATATATACGACTGCCTAGCTGAGCCGACGGACCCAATGGAGAATCGCGATGATGTGTGCATGGTGGACGTTGACGAATTTCTGGACGTGGAGGAGACGGTCAACGAAGATCATCCTAAACGGTACGAAACACGGACAACGTCCAATAGAATATGGCCTCAACGTGGAGAACAACGACGATTTAATGTCGCATTCTCGCGATCGCGTTTTGGCTGTCGACGACAACAATGATGGTAGGGTTAACCTGTGCCGTTATAGTTTCCGTTGCATTTGTACCGTTTTACTAGTGGTATAAATATTGTTTTGGAAAAAATGTACCAGTAGTTATGGTTCAAGTTAGCTAGTAGTAGTATTAAGTATTATTGTAGTGGTAGGCTCCTAGTGGTAATCATCTAGTGGTACCCACTTAGTGGTAGACACGTAGTCATCTAGTGGTACTCCCTTAGTGGTAGTCATTTAGTCGTAGTTAGTGGTACTTCCCTAGTGGTACCGGGATACCGATAAAAGGTTAAATAGTTCGCTTTGCTATTGTATCTGTTCTTTAAATACAGGTTTGGTATCAACATCGTTCCATCAGATAGTTGAACATGGAATCACTTGTGTTTCCATAACAGGATGAATTTACACGTTTCTACAAGAGTTTTGCTCATGAAAGAGGCTTCTCGTCTAGAGTTGTTAGGAGGAGTTAAGAAGAAAATGTCATACTTCCCCGAAACATTTGTTTTTTAGTTTGGAGGTTCGTGCAAAAAACAAGGGAACAAAAAAGGCAGCAGGCTTGACCCAAAAAATGCATAAGAGGTCGTGGACTCAGAGCCTCCAAAGATCGTGAACAAAAGAGGTCGTGAACAAGGGTACAAAAAAGGTAGCAGGCTTGACCCGAAAAATGGAAAAAGGTCGTGAACAAAAATAGGGGAAAAAACAAAACCTTAATATTGTTTGTCATTTATCTCGTTAGATGTTTCAATTCAAATTTGGTTCATGATACAATCAAACTTGTCCCTTGTGGAAGATATTACGTTATTCGGATGAGGTTTTGTTGTCTTTATATTTTTATTGCCTAACATTAGATAACCATTTTAAAGTGTTCTCCACTAGTTACTAGTACAAATACCACTAGTAATTACTTTTATTAGAAATATTAATTCTGGTACTGGTACCGCTAATTGTTTCTGGTACTTACCAGTACTAGTTACTGTTACACGTACCACTGGTACTTAGCCGTACTAGTTACTCGTACATGTACCACTAATAGTACATGTGTAATTAGAAAAGCAAGTAAATTAGTGTCATAACAAAAAACCATATTAAGTGTTTCACCAACATTAGGGGTTTTCTTAAAAAAAATGGTTCACATTTAAAAATGCTCAACAAATGCTTCGCAAGAGAACTAATAGCCAACAAATGCTTCACAAGAGAACTAAAAAAAAGTGCTTCACAGAGAACTAAAAGCCAACAAAAGCTCAAACTTTGTTCATACTCCAAAACATACATAAACCAATAGCATACTCCTCAAACTCTGGAAAAGAACTACTGCTTCCCGAACTAGCTTGCGCTTGTTCCTACTTTTTGTTTCTTCTTCTTCTTCTCGTAGGGACACTTCATTAACCCATCTCGTGGCCGTTTCTTACTAGGGCCCGAATCAGAGTCAAATGACTCCCTTTCACCGATGACAACCTGTTGAGATTCATAGGTTGCAGGCTGTTTTCCCGTAGGTTCTTTTTTCTGCCGGTTGCTCTTTTGTCATCGACACGTAGCATGGAGTCTTTGTTCTCGCCATTCCTGGTACCAAAATAACAAAACTACATTGTTAGACATATTTATTAAGACTTACAATACCAACACTATGAAACATTCAAAAAAGACAGTATCAGGAATGCCTCTGATATGTGTACAACTAGTGTTAGTGGTACACGTATCACTAGTTGTGTTTACCACTAGTGTTATTGGTAAGCTAATTAGTATTGGTACTGGTACATGTACCACTAGTGTTACTGATACACGTATCACTAGTAGTACATGTACATGTACCACTACAAAACATTCTACCACTACTACTAGAACTGGTACCAATACCCCTACCAATTCAAAGTACCACTGTATTATACAAACATGGAAGGGTAATGGGAGGTGAAGCTACTCGACTTACCTTTGTTTACGATCCAATGATTCAACTTGTTTTATCCTTTGGCTCACGTCATTTCTTATTCCCATCTTCCTCTATCTCACCCGTATTTTGCACTCAATATTTCTCTTTCTCATGAACCTCGAGTTACTTGCAGGTTGCTAAACATGCTTGTTGCAGCAAGCCATGAAAGATTTAAGTTAATTCTCTAGAAGCTACCATAACTTGGGATATGGTTCCAAAGCCTACTGGTGTTAAGGTTGTCGGTAGTAAATGGGTTTTCAAGGCAAAGTACCCTCTCGTATTGTGTTGTTACAATTTGATATATTTGTAAAAAATGTTAAAGTTGTGGCTACATAAAAGTAACATTAATTTTCTTTAACTAAAGATTGTTGGCAATTCCAAGAATAATAAAGACATGAAATTTACCGTTCCGACCGAAGCTAAGCGCAAAAATCAAATCTACTCAAATCACCAAGGAACAAAGCAATGATTTTCTTAGCCATCAAGTGGGCTCAATTTTTTATTATCATATTACTTTCTGTCACTACTGTTTCTTCGAATCGAGAAATCGGAGGATGGACAAAGCAAGAAAAACGAAAGCAAGAAACGGACAAGACACACGGGTTTACGTGATTCTGTAACACGATGTGTTAGTTAGTCCATCCATGTACAAGAAAAACCCTTGTGACTTCTAATTGTAGTCCGATTCAAATTGGGTAAATGCCACATTTAGTCACTGAGATTACTATATCATATCATGTTTAGTCACTAGAAAATATTAATATCAATTTTGGTCACTCGAATTACTGAAACATGCCACATTAAGTCACTCTCTCGTTAATTTCTGTCCAACTCCATTAACGGAGTTGGACAGAGGCTAATGGAGAGTGACTAAATGTGACATGTATAAGTAAATCGAGTGAGATTCATAAAAAAAAAAAGTAATTCGAGTGACCGGAGCTGGATGTAGGCTAACGGGAAAGTGACTAAATGTGACATGTTTTAGTAATTAGAGTGACCAAAATTGATATTAATTTTTCTAATGACTAAACATAACACGATTTAGTAATCCCAGTAACCAAATATGACATTTACCCAATTCAAATCATATCAAACACTTACTTTATAATATAGAGGCTCCATAATAATTCATTAATTGGACGACTCTATCAAACTTTATACGGGTGGTTATTGTCACAAACAAGGCGATTGACAGTAACGTTGTCGAATAGTTCACATATAACATCCAATAATTATGTCCTCAGAAGTCAGAACCCATCCCAGCAGGACTTGTAGTCTATCCCTTGGTCTCTAATCTCACATAGGAGCTAGTCGACCTATGGTTGTGTTCCTTTCATCAATTTTCTTTCTCATTTCTGTCCTTTTCGCCTTTGAGTGATCGATCTGTTTCGTCTCAAAGCTTCTGTCGCCATGCATGTAGTTCCTGGGTAATTGATCAAAATGGTGTCATAGATTGGATAAGTAATAAGATGGTTACAAACGTTTCAAAACGTAACAAAAAAATCACACAATTATCACAATATAACAAAAAGACCACACAATTTTTACAATATGTGTCAACAAGCTAATTGATAATTTTGGATATAAATATGGCTAAAACAAGACAACATGACTGTTTTGTTATATCATAATACTTGTATGACCTTTTTGTTTTGTTTTAAAATATTTATGACCATTTTGTTACTAGTTCAAACCTATATAACCATTTTTACCAATTGCCCTATACATCCCTTTCCCATTTTCTCCGTTTTTGCCGTCTAATGAGTTTTTCCTATGCAATAATTCCACAAAAAACGAATATAAATCGGCCAGCTGCAGCTATAAATGTTGACACATATGGGGAAAGCTGGCCCAGAACAACAACTTCCGTAGCTAACAGTCTTAACACAAAACAATGGGTTCCCAATCTTTTCCCAAGCTCCCGCTGTTGGATTTCTCTGCGCCAGAATCAACAAAAACTGGCAGTTCAGAGTGGGAATCCCTGAAATCACAAGTCCGCGAGGCGCTGGAAGAGTACGGCTGCTTCGAGGCCTGCTTCGACAAGATTCCTACGGACCTTCTCAAAGCCGTTTTCCGATCGATGGACGAGGTTTTCGAGCTGCCATTGGAGTCCAAGCTGAAGAATGTGTCCGAGAAACCCTACCACGGTTACGTAGGGCAGCATGCTCAAGTCCCGCTGTACGAGAGCTTGGGGATAGATGAAGTCACGGTGACTGAAAGGATTGAAGCTTTTGCCAACACCATGTGGCCTCAAGGGAACCCAAGCTTCAGGTAATTAAATTACTGATACTATAATCTAGGATGTCAATTTTGACCTGGCGTGTTCTATCGTGCCTGTTTGACCTGTTTTGTGTTGGGTAGTGGGGGCGGGGTGATCATAGGTATTCTCCTCGACCTAACTTGTCCTAACCCGCTTTATTTTGACTCTTTTCTACTTAAATTTATATAATTTTACTCAATTTGCTTAAAATTCTACTTTTATTACATCATATATTTTTGGCTATAATGAAGTTGTAAACAGGTGAGAACCTTAATTTTATAATAATTTAACTACGCTTATTATATTATAGTTTGTTTCATGATTTGTTGAAAAAAAATATTTTTAGTGTTTTCCTTTTAAATTACCCGATGCACGCCCAGTTATATAGATTACCTTATCTGAACCCGATCACCAAGGCATTGGACCCAACCTGACCTGACCTGACCTGCCCATTTCCATTCCCAGTTACAAACGGATTAGCTATACATAAGAGGGAGGCTAAACTAATTATTATGTCAATCATCAAACCTTTTTGACAGGAAAACAATCGAGTCCTACGCAGAGAAACTTTCAGAACTGGAGAAAACCGTAAGGAAAATGATTGCGGAAAGTTTTGGGCTTGAGAAATACATCGATGAACAACTCAACTCCACAAATTACCTACTGCGGTTCTCGAAATACAACGGGCCGAACACCCCTGATACCGAACTCGGTCTTTCCCCTCACACAGACAAGAATTTGGTGACCATATTGCATCAGAATCAAGTTGAGGGACTGGAACTGCAAACCAAAGATGGCAGTTGGATCAAATTCCAGCCCTCTACTCCAAACTCTTTCATTATTATGATTTCTGAATCTCTTACTGTAAGTACTTCTATTGCTTTAATCATATTGTAAACTATGTACGTTTTGCCTTTATAAATTGATAGATAGATTCACACGTGGTTTTGCAGGCGTGGTTGAATGATCGACTTAGTGCAACGTGTCATCAAGTTATGATGTCTGGAAATGAGGCCAGATATTCTTTGGGTTTATTCTCATACCCAAAAGATGGCTCCCTTATAGAAGTCCCAGAAGAAATGGTTGACGAAGAACATCCCTTGCTGTTCAAGCCCTTTTATTATGAGGAATTCCTTTCGTTTTACTACACTGAAGCTGGCCAAGCAGCACCTTCCGCTTTGCGTGCATTTTGTGGAATGTAAAGAGTTCTGATGTGAACCTAACCCGAGCTGATCGGAGAGAGTAAAATCTGAATCTAAAGGATTTTTAGTGGATATGAATAAAATTTGAATCTAAATATTGTAGATAATGGGTGGCCATGATTTTCACACTATCGAACCTAAAGTCGTCAAATTATACAAATGAATATATGCATATATTTTTCTAGAAATGATCATTATTCTTCTCAACATATTTGATATTTACTATACGTATATAATACTTTCATGAAATGGATTGTTTTGAACTAATGATTTTTTGTTGTGTTTTCCCACTTATGTCATATGGGTAGATGTGTGAACGTTAATATATTGGTTGGATTTTTAAAGAGAAATTATTACTCATAAATAACTATTGATACCCAAAATCTAATTGGGTAGGGCCATGATTTTGATTTACTACTCAATACTTATGATATGATTTTGGTAAAACACAAATGATTTTGGATGCAATAATAAATATGCGCTATCCATCCGGACTCACCATCGCCACCCCTATAGCTAGGTTGCCCAGGCCACCACTTGTACTACTAAACAGAACCAAGTAAAACAAGACTCTTCTAATACAATAAGGTTAGGAAAAGGCACCACACTCAAAAGAAGTAAGAAAGCAACCATCAAGATACAACAAAACCAAATTGTCTCTCCACTCATCCTTCACATGCTATTAATTGCATCATTCATTTGATTCTGATGTGTATCACACAACATGGAGAGGGAGGGAGGGAGGATTTTGTAGGAAAAGAAGTGATTCGGGCCTAAATGTACACTTTTGATTTCCATTTATCTTTGACATTTGTGGCATTGAGCTCTGAAAGGTGTGGTTTTACGCTAGGTTTTGCCGTGTTTTAATGTTTTTCAGAGTCTAACAGGTGGAACCAACCCCGAAGTCGTTCGTTGGAGGAAATGGCGCGAAGATCGGACAAAAGGAGGAATCAGTCGTCTTACCTACTTGTCATGATTAGTAAATACTAAATACTTCGTTAATACATGTATATAGGTTCGTACGTATTTTATTTGTTTAAAATTTTCATAGCCGTATTATTGTCAAGCCATATAAGCTTTCCCCGTTCATTAGATGGATACCCTAGCACGTATACAAAACCTATAACACGTGCAATATTCTTATTTAATGAAATAAATTGTTGACTTAACTATTTTAAAATAATTTAACTTTACCACTAGTTTAGAGACGATATAAAATACTCATACGTATTATATACATAACTTACACATGTATCGTATTTTACTAACTATGCCACCAGGTGCATAAATTTTGGACATCGATACAAATGCTTACAAATTTAAATTCCATATATTAAGATCTAAATTTGAATATTAATTTTTCCAGTGATATATAATATTTTTTGCGGTCTCAAGATTCATAGTTTGTTATAATATCTCAAACCATAAATAGAAAAAAAAAAATATAAACATAAAAAAGTCACAAAAACCCCAAATCAATAAGAGTGCCGGCCTTAAGCTAGTCTTCTAATAATAAGTTTTCAGTACTATTTTGAAGATTTACATAATGGATGGATCCGGATACATCCCTCTCGAACCTCGATTGTGTCTTTCTTTTTCTATGACTATTGTTCATTTGCCGTGGTCAAAATATTCGTTTCCCTCAGTTTGGTGGACTTTCCTTCCCGTTTACCTCCAATGACAAAATTAGGAGTGTTTTTAAATAAATAAAAAATTCCCTGGTAATTAGTGTTTTAAATTTCAATAGGTATGACCGAGGACCAATAATGGAGACCAACTGTACCCTTATTCCTCACGTTCCAAAGCGCTAGATGCCGGAGACGAGAAAGAATCCAAACACTCCAAGGCAAAACCACGTACGTAAGTAGATGCGCGACAGTGGTCAGCAGTGACGAACGCAGCAGCTCCCTCAATCAAACCATTCCTCGGAAACAACAAATCGCTCAAGGTAAACAAATCAAAAACGAAACAGCCCAGCCTAGGCATGGCTATAAAATCTGATCTCCCGGAAGGCAATATTAGATTAGCAGCTCTCCACTCCATCCATCATTTCTTTCTTTCTTCCCTCCGATTAAAAAAAAAAAGAAAAAGAAAAAAAGAAATGGGGAACGAGAATGACCGCCAGCTTCACGTCTACTTCTTCCCGTTCATGGCGCACGGCCACCTGATCCCTGCCGTCGACATGGCCAAGCTCTTCGCATCCCGAGGCGTCAAAACCACCATCGTCACCACCCCGCTCAACGCCCCTCTCTTCTCCAGAACCACCCGGAAGCACTCCTCGGGTCGGGCCGAGATCCTCACCCGGACCCTCGACTTCCCCGCGTCCCGGGTCGGGCTGCCGGACGGATGCGAGAATCTCGACTTCATCAGCGCCCGGAACCTCGGGTGGGGAGCCGTCTCCAAATTCTTCAAGGCCTCCACGCACCTCCAGGAATCCTTGGAAAGCCTCCTCGACCAGGACCGGCCCGACTGCCTCGTCGCCGACATGTTCTTCCCCTGGACCGCCGAATCCGCCGCGAAATTCGGCATCCCCAGGCTGCTGTTCCACGGCACCAGCTACTTCGCCCTCTCCGCCGGCGCCGCCGTCGCCGCTCACGAGCCGCAGAGCCGCGTCTCCTCCGACACCGAGCCGTTCCCGCTCCCCGGCCTCCCCCACGAGATCCGGCTGACGAAGCGCCAGCTGCCGCCGTCGGCTGCTCAGATGGTGGTCGTCGGCGCAGGCGGCGGCGGGGAAGTCGATTTCATGTCGGAGTTTTTCGGGAGAGTCAGGGAGACCAACTCCGAAGGATACGGGACCGTGGTCAACAGCTTCTACGAGCTGGAGCCGGATTACGCTGACCACTTCAGGAACGCTCTGGGAAGGAAGGCGTGGCACGTGGGGCCCGTGTCGCTTGCCAATGCTGACGTGGAGGATAAGGCTAACAGGGGAAAGCAAGCCGCAATCGACCAGGACGAGTGTTTAAAATGGCTGGGATCCAGGGAGCGGAACGCCGTCGTTTACATGTGCTTCGGCAGCGGCTCGAATTTCGGCGCCGAGCAACTGCGAGAGATTGCGGTTGGGATGGAAGCGTCCGGTCAGCAGTTCGTGTGGGCGGTCAGGGGCGGTCAGGACGACAGCTGGCTGCCCGAAGGGTTCGAGGAGAGGACGAAAGGGAGAGGGATGGTTATTCGCGGGTGGGCCCCGCAGGTCCTGATCCTGGAGCATCCCGCGGTGGGGGCGTTCGTGACGCACTGCGGATGGAACTCGACGCTGGAAGGGATAACGGCGGGGCTGCCGATGGTGACGTGGCCGGTGTCGGCGGAGCAGTTCTACAACGAGAAGCTGGTGACGGAGGTGGTGAGGATCGGGGTTCGGGTTGGCGCGGAGGAGGCGTCGGTTTATGGGGTGACGGTGGAGAGTGGGAAGGTGGAGAGAGCCGTGAGGAGGATTATGTCGACGGGCGACCAAGAGGTCGAGGACATGCGGCGGAGGGCGAAGGGTTTGGGGGAGATGGCGAGGAAAGCTGTGGAGGAAGGAGGGTCTTCTTACAATGATTTGAGTTCTCTGATTGAGGAGCTGAAATTGCAGCGCGTGGCTAGTGGATAGTCACATATTTAATAGGGTTAAATATGTCACTATCTAGCGGTGGTAAGGATTTGGCGTATTGTGATTGTTTTTTTTTTAATCATTTTTGTAACATTATTTTTAGTGAAATATTTTTGTTTTATCTTTTGTTTTAATACATACAAGCAATTAGTTGCGCGGCAATGCCGCTCAAGCTGGGTAAATGGGTAACAATCCAGCTAGTCAAATATATGCTCAAAGTCAAACCCCTATCACGTGAATTTTTATTAATTTCAATTATTTTTTTAATTTAAAATTTAATAGTAAGAGTAGAAAAACCCAATTTCTATCTATCCCTCCGGTATTAGATGGTCGATCGGAGGTGGAAAAAGAGAGGGACCATAAACTTCAATGACAGTAAGAACACAGAAGGTGATTTCCGGTCAAACGGAAATCCCAAGCAACCGTGGTTGGTGTAATTACCATGGATACTGGATAGTAGGGCTGTCATTTCGGTTTCCGGTTAGCGGCTAACCGGTCGGTCTAACCGGTAACCGCCGGTTAGCGGCTAACCGAAAACCGAAGGAAATCAGTCTCGGTCGGTTGGCGGAAACTGGGTGTGGGCAGGCGGTTAGCAGAGTAACCGAAGCCGTTTAACCGGCTAACCGGCTCTAACCGACCGAATGATACGACGTCGTTTTGGACGGTGAGAAACGACCCCAACACTAGACACTCGCGTGACTCGTCGACAGCCGCCAGACCCTCCATTCCTCTCGTTTTACTTCCTCCCCATCCTCTCGTTACTGGCGAAATCCTCAGAGACCAGAGTCGCCATCGTCGGCCAGAGCACAGCGGCCAGCACGCCATCGCCGGCCGTGCCTCCAGTCGCCGCGCCAGTCTGCCGCCACCCTCCAATCGCCGCTAGTCACCAATCGCCTCCCCCCAATCGCCTCGCCAGTCTGTCGCCAGCCCGCCACCCTCCAATCGCCGCCAGTCACGAATCGCCACCCTCCAATCGCGCCGCCAGTCACCAATCGGTCGCCGCCACCACCCTCCAATCGCCACCACCCTCTAGTTAGCCACCATCCAGAGTCCAGTCCGCCATCCCCGCGCGGCGGCGCCTCCATTCCTCCATCTCTCTCCGATAACAAGAAGTCAAGAAAGAGATAATGTAAGAAAAAAAAATTTCCCCCAGGTTTCCAAGACCAAAACAGCAGGGTTGAATCGGTTGATTAGTGGTTTTAGATTGAATAATTGAATGAGTAGAGTTGTGTGAATTGAAAAGAAGTTTGGATTGTTGGAGTTTTTAATTTTTATAGAGTGGTTTTGGTTGGTTGGAATTGAGAAATGAGAAGTAGGGTTTTGGCGGCCGGTCTTCAGTCTTGGCGGTCGGTTTGGGTCGGTCAGTGGTCGGTTTGGCGGTCTTCGGTCGGTTAGGACATTCGACCGAACCGCCCATCTCTTTTTCGGTGGCGCCGGTTTTAACCGCGCCTTAACCGAAACCGCCCGGTCGGTTTCACGGATAACCGAGGCGTAGGGTCGGTGGGCGGTGGGCACTGGTCAGGTCTCGGTTTAACCGAAAACCGAGAAATCGGTTTTCGGTTAAACCGAAACCGACCGGTTGACAGCCCTACTGGATAGGGTGAAAAGTTTTTTTTGGGAAACTCAAACGACTTTAGCGTAGCAAATCTGAAAATATATTCAAAATGGCGGGGTAGTTATGGAACTTTGGACACGAGTCATATGTTTGTTCACATTCAGCCGAGAACCTGCCTATTATAATTTCTCAGGGCGATCGAGATGTGCTGAGCTATTATAAGGATTGTTTGCAGCGGTTACGGTGCTAATTGTACAAGAGTTAGCACCGTTCTAACCAAGAGTCAGTAATGATTTAGCTTAGATGTTGTATTGATTTTATAATAATCCGTAGTGATTTCGTTGTTTTTAGTAGCGTTTTTTGCTAGTTATAACGGTGCTAACCCTATAAGGGTTAGCACCTAATCCCATCCCGGATTGTTTGCATATGTGGACGGAGTATGAGTGACTGCGTCCTTAATGACTTGGGCCGTTTTGGCAGAGATGCAAAAAAGAACGTACTAGGACCCGGGGGTCGGGCTATGCAGTTTCTTATGAAACTTAGAGCTGATTTTGAACCAATCCTTGTGTCGTTAATTCATCGTGGCATAATGGATTTGGACGTTGTGGTTGTGGATAGGGCTGGAAGTTTGGTACCGGTATTTGGGATATACTGAATACCGTATTGAATTTATGACTATTTGTTATTATCGAATATCGGCTTATTTTTTTGGGATTCATTTTGGAGTGTTATTCGGGATTGCAGGATTGTGATTGGTATATACTGACTGAAATACCGAGAAATACCGAAAATTAAAAAATTAATGAAATATAACACACAACCTTTAGTCATTCCTCACTCTTTCACAACCTAGAAGCCCCCATCCAACCCAATTTTGAATTTCTAGTTTAATTGACTCTCATTTCTCACATAATCTCTTCTTATTTTCTTAACACCAAAAAGCAAACACTAGTATTGGTCGTCTCTCAACCTCTAATTCGCCAAATTAAGGATTACCAATAACAAGAATTTGAGATTTCACCTCTGTAAAACCCTTACTTTATATTACAAAACGAAACAGTAAAATACATCGAGTTTAAACATTCTCGGGCCCGAGCTTTACATATATATATATTTTTTAAACTTCAAACCATAATATACATTTCCTTCAGAGTCAAAACAGAAACCGGGGAAGTCCGCTTTATTACAAAATCCACACAACATAAAACATTTAAGGAGTTCGGAGTCCTCCGCCCACCTCATGGCTTCCCTTCACGCTTGAGTCCCGATATCTACAGTACAAACCTTACTTCTGATCTTGATCTGAGGAAAAATGGTGACGAAGGATGAGTCGTCGCTCAGTGAATAAATTCTAAGCTCGGGTCGACATCAATACAAAAACAGTATTGGGCAGAAACACCCTAGCACATAACAGGACTTAAATTGTTTTATCACACTTTTCATTTTATTGAATCAATCAAGTTCCCATATTCACAACTCATCACAGTCAAACACATACAACGTGTGATAGATAGAGGCATTTTGCATATACAATTTCACTTTCAAATTTGCTAAATGATATACTCCTCGGGTTGTACAGTAGTGGAAGGCTGCAGGATAACCATGTACAGCCATCAGTTAACTGGAGTACCGCGGGACAAAACCCCATCCGGTACGAACAGGAGTGCACAAGGCACGAAACAGGAGTGCTCAAGGCACGAAACAGGAGTGCTCAAGGCACAAAACAAGAGTGCTCGCACCAACAGGAATATCGCGGGACACAACCCGGACCGATACAAAAACAGGAGTCGCCACGGGATTACCCCAGCCCGGCTAACTGAACAGAACAGGAGTACCGTGGGTCGTCATCCAATCGGCACGGTGCGAAGCACGAGCGCTCAAACAGGAGTATCGTGGGGTTTACCCACATCGATACAAACAGGACACACTACTGTACCGAGGTATCATAAAACCTTTTTACTTATTCTTAAGTATTCACCTCTTTTCATTAATAGTGCACTTAGACACTATAGGCTCAAAAGCATTCATAGTGCTTTTGTACCCTCAGTCACAACAGAATGGAATGTAAGCTGAGGAGCTTACTCCGAGTTATTCAAGCAGAACAGGATTAGTAAGCCTAATGGCTTACTCCAAATCTAAACAGACAAGACGGGTTCGCAAGTTCGAATACTTGCTCATAATCCGCACAATAAATCAACAGAATGTCTTTCCATATCTCATTCACAATTCATGCATTTCCAACTTCATACCAAATGCAGATAATGAATAAACACAAATAAGCCAGATCACATAGCAATATCATTTCCCATAAATTCCCATATTATACCGGAGCCTCTTCATGACCCCGATATGTATTCGGGCCACTTCATGACCCGGATACTGTGATTATGTTGAAGTAGATCTAAGATTAGAATCTACTCACAGCTTTGTCTTCACTCGGCTATGCCCTTGCCTTTGGATGAGCCCCCGGCTTGATCCTTACCTTTATGTACAAGATTTCCAGGTTATTCAAGCACCAAGACACGTATACAATCATCATAATCATGGTTATATTCATGCATGTCAATAAGACCACAAGGGAAGTCATACGATTGTACACTTTACCATGCTTCCTCATTTTGATCATTTCTCCCTTGATACTTAACCAAATCCGTTGATTCTCGTTGCTACTGAAACTAGATTCATAGGGATACAACATATCCAAATTTCAGACCATTTGGATCAGCCTTTTGATCTCAGCAATCATTTTAACTTGACATTTCAAAACTGTCAACAACTTTCTTTCACTTTAAAACCAACTCTCCTTCTTCTAACAATTGTTCCTGACCACTACGACATCAAAACTACATTCTGAACGGTCAATTCGAAGAACCACCTATCCTTAACCTCATACCAAATTTCTAGAACGATCCAACGACGGATTCGCACAGGATCTTACCTCTAATCTGCTGTCCTGCTACAGAAAAACAGTATCGCACCCCTTCTGTCCAGCGACTTTCCTCGATGAACCAGAGATCATATCGATGATCCCAACGGTCAAATCGTAGCCAAAGAGGTATGAAACCCAACCTACAAATCTCAGGACGATCCAACGGTTTGATTGTCCGGAATCGTCCTTCTCACAGGCTGTCTCGCTGCTGGACGGAAATTGGCAGCACCCCCTTTGCCTCCTTCTTCTTCCTCTTCCTCTCCTTGATATGCTTTTCTTTCTAGCTTTCACTCTTTGTTTCTGAAAGGGGGTGGTGGTTTTTGAGGTGGTGAAACCAGGTGAAAGGAAGAGAGCAAGAGAGAGACGTGGGAGAGAGTGAGGGGAAGGGATGAGAAGGAAATGAGAGATAAGAGGATGGACAGATTTTTATCTCCCTTATCTAGAATTCTCCATCCCTCCAAATTGTCTATTTGCACTAAACTTTCCTTCACTTGCAATTAAGTCTAGCACTTCCAC